TTTCTGAAAGTATCAAGACGGCGCCAGGCAGCTCAGTGTTCGCAGACAGCTGTGGCGCGACGCAACTTAAGGAGGTTCTAGTGTCATCCGCGCCGAGGGGGAGGAGCCTGACTCTGGCAGGAGGGCACACGATCCCCAGCACAAGGAAACTGCAACCCAAACCCGCTCCAGGACTTCACCCCCACCCCACACCCCCACCCCCTCACACCGCCGCCCCTCCTCCCGCCCCTCCACTGACCGGAAAGGGGCGCCGCCAAGGCCGCCTAGGGCAGAGGGGCCGCGGGCAGGGTGGGCGAGGCCGGCCGGGGCTTGGGGCCGAGGGGACAGGCAGGAGGGAATTCGCGCTCTGGCCCTTTAAAAGTAGCAGAGCCGATTCATTCGGGCTCAGTAGATTATTCCGTACCAGTGAAACCCCGCCGCCCCATTCATAAAGCTAATTTCCAAGAGCAGGCTTTTCTTTTCCACATTCCTTAAAATTAGCGAAGTTTAAAAGTAGGATTCAAGCCACAGATTTTTTAGTTTATATCAACTTGGGGGGCAAGCTATGTGCATGTAAAACTGATAAGTTTCATGACAAAGTAACTGAAGATTTGTTTCCCGAACCAGTTTCCCCAGAGGCTGATGAATCGCGCAAAGAACCTGGGTTTGATTCGGACGCCCGCATTATTTTTGTTATGGTCTCCGCTTGCTTTCACAAATTCCACCAGTGTCAAAAGCATCAGCTATTGCAGCTGTCATTTTAACATCTAATTATATAATCGATGTGTGATTTTTGACTTGAGTGACAACATGAAGCATGGAAAGCCGGGAGGGCAAGAGCTAGGCTCACTGGTCCCCGAAGTTCGGTGTAGAACTGACTTGATCTTTACTCGGCTGGCCTAACTTTTCCCTTCGCCCAGCTCGGGGCCCTACTTATTCTGCCTTCCACCCGAGAAAAACGATCCCCTCCACAGACCCTAACCCTGACCTCCGAGGTGGCACCCACCAGAAACCTCCCTGGACTCTGTTGGTCTCAGGGCCCGGGTCTGCTGGGTGGGCAGTGAGGGAGCTACGGCGAGACGCCCTGTTGAGGGGCGGGGCTTAACGAAGGCGGGACCAATATAAGGACCAATCATTGGGCGAGACCATGACCGGGCCGCAGTCGCCCCGCCCCACGGGCTTCAACCTCTGCGGCCCTGTTCGGTCTTTTGAGTCACTGCATCCCCTAGTGGCGTTACAATTTCTGCAGCTTGGGTCCGAAAAACACAGCTGGTACCAGCAAGGTCCGGCGGGAAAAGACTTCTGGTGAACCCCAGGGCAGTGCACAAAAAGGTGATTGCATTCCACGCTCCTGGGCAAAGAGCTTCGCTTGGAGGGTTGCTGGAATTGAAGGAGTCATTCCCTCTTCACTATTTTACCCCTTAAAATCCCCCCCCAATACAAAACTTCGATTCCCGACAAGCCCTTCCTAAAAAGTTCTAAATGACTCCGGTCCTACTGTGGAGAAAAAGCATCGATGTCTACCTTAAAGCCGGTGTGCGGGGAGTGTGTTCTTTTTAAAGCACAACCCTTAAAGAAGACAAGCAAATTTTATTTGGAAATGTGTCCTGCGGGCTTGGTTTGGAACTTCTTTTGACTCCTCATTTTTTTTTTTTTTTTTTACATCTGATCTTTGTTCGAAATCAAGGCTGAATTTCTAAATACAAAACATGGAAATACCTACTTTTTAAAATAAATGTCCCTTCTGAGTTTATCCTGCACCTCTTGGTCTTGCGTTTATGAGGCGACCCAGTCTTAGAATATCGATTTTTACTTTCGCTCTTTGACCAACTCATCTCTCCTGGGCCAATCAAGCTGCCAGCATCCAGCTCACGGCACTCTCAAAACCTTTTAATTATTTAGTTGCTGTCTAACATTCACCGGAAACCACTCCATAAACAAGCAGAGAGGACCGCACACACATTTTTGCTAAGAGGCCTGGGATTAAGATTAAGGATGGGAGTTAAGAAGTTAAAAAAAGAAGAAGAATAGTGTTCCTGTGTGGGTAGTGAGTTGTGTGGGACACCAATCAGGTTGACCCTAGTTCACAGCTTCGAGGGAAAAAAAAAAAAAACCAAGTAAGCATTAACTCTTTGGTCCTGGGCACCGAGATTTGTAAGGGAAAAAAGAGCAAAAGAAATCCTTTTCGAGACAAGAAGAAAAGCTGCTGACGCCAAGACTTGAACGTGTTAATTTATGTGGCTTAGAACTTTCTTTAAAAGCCTGAAAAAGATAATGTTCCTGAAAAGGAAGGCTTCCCTAGTAAGGGCTCCTCTCTAGCAAGTTTGGTAGCGGGAATGCAGAGGATTATTCGTTTTAATTCAATCACCAGAGGAGCTACACTGGGATGCAGATGACAATCCCTCCCTTGGAAAAATAAAACATCTAGAAGGCCCCTCCTGGTCTGAGGTAGTTTAGAGCTGGCAGAAAGGGGTAGGGGGCCTGAGGCTGGATGCCCGGGGTAATGGAGCCAGCCTGTAGGGGGTATTTAACATGTAATTCCCAGCCGGTCCGCCCCTGTTCCCGGACTGACAGTGGGTAATTGGGAAAGAGGACGTTGCTCTTTTGATGGCCCGCGCCGGCCAGTCTCGCCGACGCCACACTGGGTTTGACGTCACGGGCCCAGCCCCAGAGTCAGAAACACAGAGCAGGGTAGGGGGAGGGAAAAGAGAGGAGAGGGATACCGGGGAGGGAGGGCCGAGGTCGGCTCCCGGACCCATCGGGAAGAAGGGGGAAGGGATCGTGGCCAGAGAGGCTGCAGCGCGCGTGGCCTGAGGCAGAGAGCCGGACTCCGGGGGTCTGGGCCAGGCCAGGCGCCGGTCTGACCCGCCTAGCTCGCAAACGCAGGCCGAGCTTCCTCCTCCCCTGGCGGGTGGCGGGGGAGGGGAGGGGGCTTGAGGCCGGGGGTTGGGGGGGTGAAGGAGGAGGGAAAGGGTGGTCCGAATCCTTCAGTTGCCAGAGCCTACAAAGCTGATCCGGGCCTCGTTAGGGGACGCCTCAGCGCCCTCATGAAGACCTAGGATGCCACCCAGGCACCCCGGGCCTGGGCTCCATGTGGCTCATTCCCCCTCTTCCCCTGGAGCATCTGGCGAGACTGGGGGAAAGGCAAGAGAAAGCCTTCTAGGAGTCTATTGTCGCTGCTGCCAAGAGCATTTGGCCTCCCTCAATTGGGTAAGGGGTTAACCAAAGATCTGGGTGCCTGGGTATCCAGCATCCTGGAGCGGAGCAGGCGAAGGTTCTGCTAGCGCCCTCCAAGGAGCCAAGACCTGGGATTGTGTGTGGGGTGACCGGAACCAATTTGGACTATCTGAAAACCCCAGACCTTGGGGCTAGTGCTGTAGGCGTCAAATTAATCAGGATATGTGTGCCCTCTTGGGGAAAGGGTTAGAAATAGATCTGACTTTCTCTATGCTTGAACTAAGCTGGAATACCTCCACCACACCCGCGCTCACACACACACACACACACACACACACACACACACTTACTTGCCCATCTTCAGGTTCCTCCCACTTGTCTCACTGGGGCGTTGAGACCCCATCCCTCTGGAAGAAGGCACAGTCTATCCCCTTCAGAATTTGGAAGCCCCGATTGCAAAGATGCTGAAGGTGACTGGGCCATAGATCCAGAAGGTAGAAATCCACACAACTTTCGTCACCCACCCGAGCCTGACTCCGAGAGAGGACAGGCGAGCTCCGCGGGGCCGAGATGCTGAAAGATGCAACCTTGGGGTTTGATCACCGCCCTCCAGAGAGTTGACCAGCAAAGCTGAAGCTTGGGGGTCGAAGTACTATAGTTACTAATCCTGGGCAGGGGTAGAGAGCGTACCTCGGAATGCCTAGGGCAGTCATTTGAGCATGTTTACTTAAGGACTTTGCAAGCGGAGCGCGAGCGGAATAGTAAGATTCTCCTAGAGGCAGCAAATATTTGCAGGCTGAAGAACGAAGCGGAGCGGAGCCGTACTGCTTTGTCCCTCCCCCCCACCCCCAAGAGAAGCGGCGCCGGCCTGGGCGGACCCGAGGGCGCGGTTACTGACTGAAGTAAAGCCCGGAACCTGAGGGGCTGGGAGGTCGGGGAAGAGCTAAGAGCAGCACCGAAAGCCAGAAACTGAATGCACAGCCTCGGGCCGGGCGAGGCGAGGATTAGGGAAAACGTCCCTTCCCATTCCAGCTCTACCAATCTTCCTTGGATGTGATCAATCAATAAAAACGAAGTAAAAAGACTGGTTGCTGTGCATCTGGGAAGGAAGTGGAGGCCAGAGGTATCCAGGCCAGCGCCGGCGCCACCTTACCAATCCTGTTTGCAACCTGGAGGTCTGCAACGCCTCGGACTAGGGAAGCAGGACGGTGGCGAGAACCCAGGGCGACGGCTTTGGGGCCTTTAATTGGGTATATCCGTTTTAACAGTGGCCATTGTTGAAGCAATTAGCGAGAGACAATAACCACCAAGATGCGTTTAATTCGATTCTGTGCACGCTGCAATCCCGACCCGGGCGCTGTGATAGACAGGCCGAGGATAACTGGGAGGGTCTGGTTGTGAAGGTACCGGTTCGGTTCCTTGATCATTTTGTCTTAGGCACGGGAGTTGTAAAAGAAAGGCGAGGGGAGCCAGATCTGCCCCAAGCAGGCCACGGAGGGAGACTCGTCCTTGGTCTTGTTAGTCCCCACTGGTCACCCCCTGACCACTGATCCTTCTTGGAGCGTGGGTTGGAGCTGCGGTCGTCGTGTCAATCCATAGTGCCTGTTTGAGGGGAAAAAAGCCGGGAAGGCTGGGACGTGAATCCACATCTCCTTTCTAAATCCTACATCCCCGCCTCGAGTCCTCGAACCAAATCCGAATTAGCTTCCCAATCGGGGGAGGAGCAAAGGAGAGACCCCTGCTTGGGTCGCGTAAAACACCTCCTTCTCTGGAGCCAGCCCCACTACCCCCTCCTTCGTTTTAGCCTCCAGATTAGGTTACCCTGGCCGGGCAAGGATTTTTAC